TGGTGGTCTAGTGGCTGGGATTCGGCGCTTTCACCGCCGCGGCCCGGGTTCGATTCCCGGTCAGGGAAAAGCAATATCCATCTTTTCTATAAATAACCTGAATTTATAAATTTCCGCTGAATTTATAAATTCTGCTGGATTTCCCCATTGCTCTCGAAAACAGGCAATTCCAAATCCAAAAGCGATTAAACAGTCGAGGTGTTTCTGGAAGAATAATATTCCTAGGGTCTGGTGGGCCTGAGTTTATGAGGGCATTCACTCTGAACCCCCCATCCCCTTTTGTCACCACGTCCCCAAGGGAAAATATTAACGCACGGGCGAAAATAAACCCCCACCCGCAGCTTGTGCGATAAATACGGATTTTTTGCCAGCGCTGCCATTCCGGAGTTTGGAGGAACGCTGATCCACAAAAATCATGAAAAGCAGTAAAAATTAAAAGTTTGGGGGAATGTTTCTGCCCGGTTTCGAACCGGGGGCCTTTCGCGTGTGAGGCGAACGTGATAACCACTACACTACAGAAACCCCACACAAGTTAATTGGGGTGACCCACTCCTGACAGAAGGGACCCAGATCTCCACCCCCACCTTCTCCCACCCCCTTTTCTACCCAATTTTTCCTCAAAATTGCCATCAGCATGCAGAAAATGACCAGTTTTTGTATCTTAAAAAGCTCTCCCTGCCCCCATCCTTCACCTCTCTTTGGTACCAAACTACTGGTGGGGGGGGAAAAAGAGCTTTTTTCCACGGATTCCGCACGGAATTCTGCCTTCCCGCTGCTGGAGCTGTCGTTTGTCCAAGCGGGAAGGGTTTCACGGCCCTTTTCATTGCAGGACCAAAAACCGCAGCAATTGAAATAAAAATAAAAGAAAAGAAAAGAACATGAAATAAAATAAAATAAAATAAAATAAAAATAATCGAAATAAAATAAAATGAAATAAAATGAAATAAAATTTAAAAAAAACCAAAATAAAGTATCTTTGCCGAGGTGTTTCACCCCACTCCTCGCACAGGCAGGAAAGAGGGACTGAAACCACCAAAATCCGGCACCAAAATGAGGACAGAAAAATGACATTTGAGGAGCCCGGCTAGCTCAGTCGGTAGAGCATGAGACTCTTAATCTCAGGGTCGTGGGTTCGCGCCCCACGTTGGGCGATTAATTATTTTTATTTCCCCCCCAGCTACCACAAATCAGCGGAAAATAATTCCCGACCTTTCGGTGCTCCCCCGCTGATAATCACCCTAAAAACTCAAATGGGAAAAAAGCCCCGACAAATTACCAAAACCCCCCCAAAAAATTAAAAAAAATTAATTTTTGTCACCACCATATTCCCTTTTCAGCCACAATTTGCTACCGTCAGGATGGCCGAGTGGTCTAAGGCGCCAGACTCAAGGCCCTGCCTTCCTGCACTTGGGTATTCTGGTCTCCGAATGGAGGCGTGGGTTCAAATCCCACTCCTGACAAATGCCATTTTCTTGGCATTCCTACCCCCAAAAAAAAAAAAAAAATAAAAAAAAAATAAATCTCATTTTCCGCTTCGTGCCTCTTCCCCCAGCCGAAACCACCCCAGCGCTGCGTGACCTCACGGCAAAAAACCGATTAAATTCGTCTTTTCTTCCACGATGGAGTGGGACGGGCACAGAAATCTCGTTTCTCTTTTTTATTTTTACCCAATTCAGGCTTTTTTTGGGTTTTTTTTGTGCGGGTGGGGGGGGGAACTTCGAGCAGGAAGTTTCTGTAGTGTAGTGGTTATCACGTTCGCCTCACACGCGAAAGGTCCCCGGTTCGAAACCGGGCAGAAACATCTGCTTTCTTTTTTCCTCCTTTTCCTTTATTTTGTTGGGGGGCGTCGGGGTAATTTTTTCTTTTTAATTCCTCCTTTTTTTCTCCTTTTTCCAAAATTACTGCTT